TCTGGGCATATTCAGTATGTGTCGGGGTGGTTTTCAAAAATGTGGGGTTGGGGGTTGTCAACCTTCTGACCGTTTTGACCCCCAACCCTTCGTTTTGACCCCCAAACCCCCACCCACCGTTTTGAGCCCTGACCCACCCTTTTTACCCCCAACCGTTCTAACCCCTATGCCATCGTTTTGACCCCCCACGTTACAATTTTGACCCCCAACCCACCACCTACCGTTTTGACCACCGAACCACCATTTTGACCCCCAACCCATCGTTTTGACCCCAAGCCCCCCAACAACCAACCTGACTACCCCACCTGCTTATATTCACTATGTGTCAGGGCCGTTTTAAAAAATGTGGGGTTGGGGGTTGTCAATGTCTTTTTGATTCGTCTATGTGTGAGGGACTGTCATTTTTGTTTTCTTTCTTACTACTTATTCTTCTTCTTACCCTCTCTCTCCTTTCAAGTTTTTTCATTTCATTTTGCAAGTTTCTTCATGGGGGGTGGCCCCCAACAACCAACCTGACTACCCCGCCTGCTGATATTCATTATGTGTCGGGGCGGTTTTAAGAAAATGTGAGGTTGGGGGTTGTCAATGTGTTTTCAATTCATCTATGTATGAGGGACTGTTATCTTTTTTTCTTTCTTACTTCTTCTTCTTCTTCTTACCCTTTCTCGTGTTTCAAGTTTCTTCATTTCGTTTTGCAAGTTTCTTCATCGGGGGTGGTTTTAAAAAATGTGGGGTTAATGGGGGTGAATAAAATGGGGATTTTGTATGTTTGATTCAGACATCCATAGGTGCAAAATGTCATCAGTAATACATGTTATTAGCAAACATGAAAAACATAGTCCACATGTTCTTAGCATAGATCAGGATACATAAAAAGCAAAGTTCACATGAATGTTATGACATGAAAAGCAAAGTCCACATGAGTCCACAAGAACTACATGACTGCTATGATATACAAAATAACCAAGGATCGTGTACAAAAATCGTCGTCTAGATGTCAACCACGTACGTGTCCGAGTCTACCAAACTACCAACGAACTCCAAGTGTCTCTAAAGTACAGAACCTACGACGATCTTTCTACACACTAATACACTATACAATGAAGACTACAAACAAACCTAATGACAATGAAGTAAACTTTAAACATGCATACAACAGAGCAAGCCCACTCGTCCCTAGAACTGNACACTATACAATGAAGACTACAAACAAACCTAATGACAATGAAGTAAACTTTAAACATGCATACAACAGAGCAAGCCCACTCGTCCCTAGAACTGACCGGCACCATGTCTCCAGCTACCAAACTACCAATGAACTCCAAGTGTCTCTAATGTACAGAACCTGCGACGATCTTTCTACACACTATACAATGAAGACTACAAACAAACCTAATGACAATGAAGTAAACTNACTCCAAGTGTCTCTAATGTACAGAACCTGCGACGATCTTTCTACACACTATACAATGAAGACTACAAACAAACCTAATGACAATGAAGTAAACTCTAAACATGCATACAGCAGAGCAAGCCCACTCGTCCCTAGAACTGGCCGGCACCACGACCGCCACCGCGGCCCGCCGATCGAGGACCATGCACGGTCGATCGTGTCGAAGAAGCCGCTCTCCTCTCTCTCTCTCTCCGCCTCGCCACGTCAATAGACGACTCCTCGGTGTCTACGTCGACGTCTCCCGTAGTGTCCGCAAGACTCGCCAATGCCGAAGCCTCTCTCAACGTCGCAATCTCCGCCTCGTGGGCTGCTATACGAGCACCTATCTCCGCCAATGACTCATGACGTCTCTCCCCCACGCGCATAGGCAAAGCCTCCTCGCCAGAGGTGTACGCCCCGCTCTGCATTCCGACCTTTGGGGCGGCTGGTATGCGGAGATCTCTCATCCTCCTCGGAAGTCCCACTCCCAAAATGCGACACGCAGTGCCTATATCGGGTCGGCCACCACTACCCCCGCTATCACCCTCGGCCCGTCCTCCCTCCTCTCCCTCTCTCTCTGCCATGGCTCTCTCTTGTGCCTCTCTCTCTACCCTCTGTCTCTCYTCTCGGCGTCGTGCCTCAGCTCCARCAACCTCTSTCCTAARCTTCCCATCCACTCTTCGCACACTCGACCAAGGACGGTGGTCAGACTGCCGGATATCCTKCCGTGAAGGTGCCATAGAGGCAGGCAAGTGTCCTCTCCCAACAACACTCCCTGGTGTCGGACGCCGCGCAACTGTCTGTGCGCTAGGCGTGGCCGRGACTGAACGTCCTGACCTCTCCTCCTCGTGTCMAGCTACCACCTGCGTGTCCGMGACWAAACGTCCCGACCTCTCCTCCTCGTGTCCCGCCCTCTCCTCCTCGTCTCCAGCTACGACCTGCGTGTCCRAGACCGAACGTCCYGCCCTCTCCTCCTCCYCGTGTCCCATCGCGTCCTCCTCCTGTCCCGCYCTCTCCTCCTCRTCTCCAGCTACGACCWGCGTGTYCGAGACCGAACGTCCCRCCCTCTCCTCCTCCTCGTGTCCCATYGCGTCCTCCTCCTGTCCYGCCCTCTCCTCCTCGTGTCCAGGTAACACYTGCTCTACCTCCGCACCTGCAGGTGCCATAAGTCCCAGTAYAAYGTCATGCACAAYATCCGACTCCGAGTCCATCGYGCCTGAACCACYTGCAGGCRACCCGCATGGTACAGGAGGCGYTGCTGACACACATGGAAYATCAGYATRTCYCGTAACGGTCGRGGATGGCGAGAGAGTGGCATGGTGTGTCGTAGCASWAGGCGATGAAGACACAAGTGGATCATCAGCACGGCCCCCACCCGAAGGYTGCAGGGCAGCATCCGGTCCAATCAAACCCTYTGCGYTGTCGWCATCRCCACCTGSACCAATGGTYTCCARCCGTCTCCTGCGCTCCGCCTCCGCCAGAAAAGCCACCCTCCCCGCCCAYTGCATCYGAGACAAACGACTCTCCTCCTCGRCGTCAATGCGYGCGTCACGCTCTGCCTCRGTCTCCTCCCTCGGCRTGTCACGGGGACAGTAGTCCGCCATGTCTCCCACTCGAACGTGYTGAYGTCTGCCAATGCCGAATCCGRACGTGCCCTCCCCACCCACCATGAAGTCCCTCGTCCGCAAGTCCGAAGGCATGTCATGTGATGTGTGTGTGTGAATAGGAGTGCGCTGCTCAGACTGCTCACCCTCCACCGTGTCGCACTSTATCTCCTCTAGGTGYTGCGAACAACCGGTCTKTGTCTGCGGGGCTGTGYTGTCAYGGCCAACCAGCCTCTCCGACCGTCTACGAGGCTGARCGTYTCTCCCCATCTCAGGCRCCGRCATCCCTGCTGCCTGCTCATCCTCCACTGCCTGSTCATCRTCRGTGYTGTCAACACCAAACACCCTCCTCGGYTGTGTGGCACCTYCGGTRCCCCTCGTGCCCGCGCCACGTCCGGTGCCATGATGTGTGTCAGATGTGYCGCGCGGMGGRTCATCGTCTGCTCTGATGAGCGTGGTATGAGGTCGTGCTGTGCTGCTATGTCCTCCCTGTGCAAAGTAGACTCTCTCTAGCGTCTTGTCTGCACGACATGCCATCTCCTCGGGGTCGGTCCATTCCTCATCTCCATCAATGGCATCGTCGGCCGCAGGCCGAGCCGCGTCATCCACAACCTCCTCCTCCGGCACCTCCGCCTCGTACGGGAGGAGAACCGCGGCTCTCGCACCAAACACCTCTGACATTGGACGAGGCCGACGACTACCTAGCTGTTGTAATCGGCGTCTAGTCAACGCCAACTCCTCCTATGTCACAGATGCGCGGGGCCGCGCTCCCCATACCAAAGGCTCGGGCTCGTCCTCACCCTCTACCTCATCCAGGGCATCCAAGTGTCCCCACGGAAGAACGTAATCGGTAGATGACTCGGAACACTCCAACAGTTTGAGATTGGTGGCAATCTCAATCAGCTGAGCGACCTTCGTGAACTCTAACCTATTACGCCTAGCCGTGCACACGCGCTCATGTTCCGCCCAGTTCCTCTCTGCGGGAGAGGCGGACGTCCACATGTGCAGCACCCGTGCTGCAATCTCCTGAAGATCGGGGTATGCGCCTCCGTGTTTTTGCCACCAAGCAGCACACCTCGGTGTCTCGTCGTCCCCTCTGCATGTCTGCGCCTCTGCGTCCCTCGTGGCAGGGTCGGTCAACATAGGACCCATACGTGCGTGAAACAGTCTCATTTGCTCACGCGTGCGCAAGTACCGAGCACCTGCCCGATCTCCCCCCATCTGGGCAAGGAAGAAGTTGTCGCAATCCTGCACGACCTCCAAATCCTCTTCTGTCCTCACCCTCGCATCGTAGTACCGAAGATAACGCCTACGAGGGTTGAGGAGATGCGCCGCGGCGTGCACCGGCTCCAGCATATGCTGGCGACCGGCGAGGACCTGCCCGCCCCTATCGAGCCTCCTGAGCAACTGGTGGATTGGAGTCATCACCAGAATGCCATACTCCACATCCCGCCAAAACAATCCATCGCGGATAGTCTGGCGCACCCACACCGCCTGGTCGACCAATCGAGGTTCCCAGGGAATGTTGTCCCACGCCTCATCGTGCAGCATCGACTCAAGCGCGTCTCTGCGCTCCTTTAGGCAAAGGAGCATCATAAACACAGACGTGAATCTCGTCTCCACAGGCTGAACAAGGAATTTGCGCTTGCTCTTCGACCTGAAAAGGTGAAGAGCAGCGCCATGCATCTTGATAAACCGCACCAAGGCCCTTCCACGAAGAATGGCCGAGGAAATGCAATCTACCCGGGTCCCTATGTTTGACAACATCAAGTTGCAGACGTGGATGGCGCATGGGAGCCACGTGATACGACGCAGCTCCGGGTCAGCGTCCTTTGCATGGAGCTTTGCGGCCAACGTGTAGTTGGACGCAGAGTCCGTGCAGATCGCCAACAAATGACTAGGAGGGAAGGTCCTAAAAATGGTCTTCCATCTCCTCAACACTATCTCTCCCGTCTCAAGAACGAAAGCATCTCGACGCACGGTGGTATAGAGAAGCGCGTCATGCTTGTCAGTGGCAAGGAAGTTAATGATGGGCCGCAAATCTCTGGACCTCCTGCCATCTGTCAAGATGGTGGCCCCAATCGCCTCGAACGATGCTCGGACATGCGCGAGCCTGGTAGCGACCTCATCGCGCTTCTCAATAACCCCCTTCCCCCCAATCTCCTTATGACTAGGATACACCATCCGTACTCCACGTGGCAACTCAGCCACTGCCTTGCGGTGTCTCCTCCAAGAGCTCCTCCGGAAAGCATGAAACGGGATCCCCCCGTCATACACCCACTCCAAAAACGTGTTCCTCGTCCACTGTTGAGCGTCGCCATCATACACCTCGTCGATGGTCGTCTGTCTAGGTCTCTTGCGCCCCTCCGCAGAAATGTCATCGTCCACCTCATCGATGTGCATCTTCCCTCTCGCTCTCTCTCTCTGCCCAGCATCTCGGGATCCACCCCCCGTGCCACGCGCAGTCATCACGACCTCCTCCCCCCTCAAATGCGGGGGATTCGAACCACCACCCTCCCCTCCCACCTCCGCAGTGCCTCGCATGGCATCGGCCTCTCGCCTTGCCTCCCGGTCCAAAAACGCCTCCACCTCATCCCGACTTTCACCCCCCAATCCCGACTTCCCTCCTCCCCTCCCACGAAAAGAAGAAGAAAACGGAAATGAAAAGAAGAAGAAAACGAAAACGAAAAAAAAACGAAAAACGAACAAAAGAAAAAAAGCGAAAAAAAAAAAGGAAAAAAAAAACAAAAAACAAAACGAGAAACAACGAAAAAAATGAAACACACGAAAATAAGAAGAAAACGAAAACGAAAAAAATAAAAAAACGAAAAACAAAACAAAAAAAAGAAAAGAAGCGAAAAAAAAAACACGAAAAAAAATGAAAAAACCAAACAGTTAATCAATCAATCAATTAGTCATGCAATCAATGAAGATCTTGATTTGATTGATTGATTGATTGATTGATTGATTGATTGTGTGTGTGTGTGTGTGTGTGTGTGTGTGTGTGTGTGTGTGTGTGTGTGTGTGTGT